TCAAAGGCCTTGTGGAGTTATCTAGGACAGAGCACACCCAACAACAGACACACACACACACACACACACAAAACTCCTCAACCTACAAAAAACACACACACACACACACACACATTTCCATTGATCAGAGCTGACCAGAAAAATACTGTGAAATCCAGAACATTAAACCAAGAGATGTTTCCTGGAAATGCAGCTGGAGTTCTTGAGTTGTGGAGAAGAGCTGGAAGACCTGAAGCGGCGAGATTAAACAAGGTCATTGTGGAAATAAGAGGAGCTTCTTGTTTGAATGCTTGACTGTCAGTGCAAAATTTTATTCATGCTGTTTTCATATCATTCAAACAGCAATCAGAGAGTTTATCAGATAGATTTAGGGCCTACTCACACTCTGCCATCTGTACCGTGCCTAGGCCCGTTTCCTGGATCGTTTGAGAAGTGTGAGTGCGCTGAATCGGGCTCAAGCACGGTTCACTTGGCCGGCCCTGGCCCGGTTGGAAGAGGTGTGCCTGGGCGCGGTTTAATTGGGTTTTGGCGTGGTACGCTTGTGTGTGAGTGCAAAACACGCCAAAGCCCGAAACTGAAAGCGAGACGTGACTTTTAAAGGGACTGTTTCATATGGATTTATTAATCATTCTTACTGTTCAGGGAACGCAAACTGCCATAGTTTATTAAAGACGCAAACTCCTCACTGCATGACAGCTGCACCTTCAGCAGACCTCCTCATTCCTGCAGCACGAGGACTTTATGATTGTTTATGAGCTCCAAAAGTGGCGAATCTGTTCGGCGAAATATCTGACTGCATGTCCCCGCATCCCTAAGGACTGTTTGGCGAAATATTTGACGGCATATCAAACGACTGAAACGATATAACTAGAGAAATCTCCACTGTGCTGCTGAGTGAGAGCGCTTCTCACTGAACAGCGCAGCAGCGATGACGTAAGCGTGCCGAGGCCCATTTGTGGTTTGAGTGCGGGCCGTCTGGGGAGACGGGAGGGGGGACAAGCGTGCTTTGGCCCGGTTCGAGGCAACTGAGTACGGCCTTAGAGAACAGTCTTATAACGTTTACATACACTCTAAAAAAAGGAGCATAGCAATTTAAAAAAATGTCTGATGGTAAATCATACTAAACGTTTTCTATTTTAGGTCTGTTAGGAGTACCTAAATCAGGGGTCACCAATCTCGGTCCTGGAGGGCCGGTGTCCCTGCAGGGTTTAGCTCCAACTTGCCTCAACACCCCTGCCTGGGTGTTTCAAGTATACCAAGTAAGACCTTGATTAGCTTGTTCAGGTTTGATTAGGGTTGGAGCTAAAATCTGCAGGACACCGGAGCTCCAGGAACAAGTTTGGTGACCACTGACCTAAATGATTTACATTTGCTAAAAGCCAGAATAATGAGATAATTTTTTTTGGTCCCACTTTATATTAAGCAGGCCCGTGCAGAGACCGTCCAAAGGGCATGTGCAGGATACATTTTTAAAGGGGGGGGTGGGGGGGTGGGCGGTCAGGGTGGGGGGGGGGGGGGTGGTGTTGTTGCGCGCGTACTGAAGAGTGGTGTTGTCGCGCACGTTCTGATCAGCTGTGTTGTCGCGCGCGTACTCAAGAGCGGTGTTGTCGCGCGCGTACTCAAGAGCGGTGTTGTCGCGCGCCTACTCAAGAGCGGGACCGAGGGTGTGTCGCGTTGCTGGGGCACTTTTGATCATTTTGGAAGGGCATTTTCTATCCAAGACTAAAAAGGGCATGTGCACTGGACAGGTTGAGCCCTATGTGTGCACGTGCCTGATATTAAGTGTCCTTAAGTATTATGTACTTGCATCAAAAAAAATAAACACAATGTACTTACTGTGTTCATAATGTATTTGAGAGCACCTGTGGTGCTCTTGAAATGGGATAGAGGTTGGGTTATGAACAGGTTTGGTGGTGTGGGCAGGTTTAAGGGAGGGTTAAGGTGTAAGGAATGGTCAACAGTGTATTTACAAATGTAATTACAGAAGTTAATTACAGATGTAACTACATACAGGTATTTAATCAAGCATAAAAAACAGTAAATACATGTATTTACACAATAAGTACATCGTAGCAAACTATTAATTCCTGTGTAAGTACATATTAGTTTAGGACAATATAAAGTGGGACCTTTTTTTTTTTTTTTCTTGACAGTCAAAAATGTACACACATTTCCTTGATAATTTTTTTAGCTTTGTTTTTAAATCGTATAACTTTGGTCAAATGTTTTTGGTCTCCCTCCACAAGCTTCTCACAATAGTTTGCAGGAATTTTGGCCCGTTCCTCCTGACAGAATTGGTGTAATTGGTGGCGGAGTCAGATTTTTAGGCTGTCTTGCTCGCACAAGCTTTTCTCAGGGTGGATTACTGTAATGGACTCCTCTCTGGCCTACCCAAAAAGACAGTAAGACAGTTGCAGCTCATCCGGAACGCTGCGGCCAGGTTTCTGACCAGAAGCAGAAAATCAGAGCACATCACACCTCGCGTTCAATCTGCCCGGTTGGTGGAATGAACTCCCTAACTGCATCAGAACAGCAGAGTCACTCTCTATTTTCAAGAAACGACTAAAAACTCAACTATTTAGTCTCCACTTTCCTTCCTAATCTGAAATTGCCTCTCTGACTCCACCGCTAACTGTACTACAAAAAATAATAATAATAAAAATTACTAATGTTTTGCTTCTTACACTTTACACACCTGAAACTTGCCTACAGCACTTATTCATTGTTGCTCTTATAGTTGTGTAAGTTGCTTCCTCGTCCTCATTTGTAAGTCGCTTTGGATAAAAGCGTCTGCTAAATGACTGAATGTTAATGTAAATAAGTAGTTTGCAACCTTAAAAAACTGAGTAAATCCAATTAATCATTTCTGTCAGTGTACTGTATGAGGAGTGTTTTACACATTTAGGTGTGTCACTTTCACGAATAAAAGAGTCCACAGGACTAAAGCTGAATAACACAGAGCACAAAGGCTGCAGTGAAGGAGCCGTCAGCCGAAGAAAGATCTCAATGAAACTGCATCAATGTGGCGGCGCTTTTTCATCTCAGGTGTCTGCAAACCTCCACACACCTGTGCAGTTTCATCAGCTGGAGCCCCAGGGGTGGAGGATGAAAATGTGGAGGAGATACACCTGCTCACACACACACACACACACACGCTCCTTTGTTTCTGCCTCTTTCTTCTCATAAAGCTTCGCCCAGGCCTCAAACCAAGGTGGAGCTCAGCGATCTGCAGCAGATTCAGGACAAAAACTCAAGCCCCTGGGCTGTTTTCGGGAGGATATTGTACATTGTAAACCTGCGCAGGTGCGATCGTTATGGGGAAAAAAGTGCAGGAAGCTGAATGGAGGAGACGCGGATCTTTCAGGAGGACACAGACGCTGTTCATCTCACTCATCGTCATTCTGGTGGTAATAATGTGTGTGTATTTTCACTTGCTCTTATCCACGCCTTGGACTGAGTTTGCATCGTTTCCTATGCTCTAGTTGAACCCTGAATGAAATTGAATCTTTATGACTGTTGATGCTACTGAAATCAAATTAGCTGCTGTGTTTGTATGTGTAAAGGCTCTTCATTTTGTAATGGATTGCAAGGGTTGCCAGGTTTTTGCAACAAAACTATGGCCAAATGATATAAAAATACGCCACCGCCCATAAATAAAGAACATATTTTACATCACTATATGCATTAAGTTTTGTCTTTGTAAGTAACTATATTAGTTTATACTGCATTGCATGATGTTGTTTATGATCATTTGAATGTATGCTTGGAAATATTTTTGGTAACACTTTATAATAACTACACACTATAAATCATTTATTAAGCATTAGCAAATAGTGAATTCATTATCTGTTAAGCATTAACTGCAGTTTATAACTGCAGCTACAAATGCTCTATTCTTGAGTTATAAGCACCTATATAATGTGTTTAATAATCGTATTTTCATACTCTGTAAATTATTTATTTTTTCATTATAAATTAAGTATCACATTATTTACAAACCGTTTGTATTTAAGAGTAGTTGAGGGTTTTTAAGATCATTCAGAATGAGTTAGTAAATGATTAATAAACTATTAAAATCAACGTTTATATATCTTATTATTCAGGCATATATTGATGGTTACTATATATGTTAATAAATGCTTTATTAACTCAACATTATGCAGTTTTGTGACCTAATCTAAAGTGAGGACTATTCATGCTTTATAAATCCCTTATAAACGACAAATAAAGGCTTATAGGTGCTTATAAGTAAAGAATAGAGCATTTGTAGCTGCAGTTATAAACTGCTTACTAACGCTTATTAATGTAGAGTTAATGCTTAACAAATAATGAGTTCACTAGATGCTAATGCTTAATAAATGATTTATTGTGTGTAGTTATTATAAAGTGTTACCATATTTTTGTTTTATCACTCATTCTAGTTCATTTTGACCTGTAACCAACCCAGGCTCATTGTGGAAACGTAGTCCCGTGGACGTTTCTGGAGACTGCGGAATACGTCCCGGCGGGTACATACGGCTGCAGTTTTTGTTTTCGCGAATCCGCGAGAGGCAGTTACTGCGCGCTTTTTCGCACCTCAGGCGCCTCTCGCGGACGTGAACCCGCCCTGGGTGCCGCCGTCCGACTGACCGGATGATTGACTGCGCGACCGGCCAATCGGCCGACTCGCCCTCCTCCTTCCCTGAACCCAACCAATTTTACCGATCGACCCGCCCGCCCGCTCGCTTCCCTAAACCCGAGCAATAGTTCACAAAAGCCGTCCAAAAAAATAAAAGATTTAAATTTTTGGGATTTTGTTTTTGTCTTACCTGATTGCTGGAACTGCTCTTCCCCGGACTCGAAACCGGTCGCCGTGGTCGACCCCTCTCCGCATCTCGAGCCTGCCGACGTTACACGCTGACCTGAGTGGACAAACGGGTTGCAGCGGGGAAGCCCTCCACAAGGAGGTAAGGCAAGCGCGAAAAGGAACAGCGTCACACCGCCCCGCAGCGTTCGCTTGAATAAAAAATAAATGCCGTATTCCGCTGTCTCCAGAAACGTCCGCGGGACTACGTTTTCAGAATGAGCTTGGGTTGCCTATAACACTGCAACAAAAAATCCTTTCTAATGCTACTGAAACTAAATAAGCTGCTATATTTTATACAGGCGTGTGTGCAAAGACATCTTTGCGTGTGTTCATTTTGCATTTTGCATTGGATTGCAAGGGTTGCCAGGTTTTCGCAACAAAACTATAGCCAAATGATATAAAAAAAATATGCCACTGTTCATAAATTAAGAACATATTTCACACCACCATATGCATTATACACTGAAAATAACTGTATATTAGTGTATATTGCATTGCATGATGTTGTTTAGAATAACTTGACTATATGCTTGGAAATAGTGTTGTTTTTAACACTCATTCTAATCCATTTTGACCTGTAACACTGCAAAAAAATTTACTTTCTTAGTTACATTTTTTCAGGAGGAAACAGAAGCTGTTTATTTCACTCATCGTTATTCTTGTGGTAATAATGTGTTTTGCTTGCTTTTATCCACGCCATGGACTGAGTTTACATCTTTTCCTATGCTGTAGCTGAATCCTGAATAAAATGGAATCATTATGACTGTTAATGCTACTGAAATTAAATAAACAGCTATATTTTACACAGACGTATGTGCAAAGACTGTTCATTTTGCATTGGATTGCAAGGGTTGCCAGATTTTCTAAACAAACCATATCCAAGTGATATAAAAAAATGTCACCGCCCATAAATGAAGAACATATTTTACATCACTATATGCATTATACACTGAAAATAACTGAATATTAGTTTATATTGCATTGCATGATGCTGTTTATGATAACTAGATCTCATTCTTGTAAATAATTTTGTTTTAACATTCATTCTAGTGTATTTTGTCCTGTAACACTGCAAAAAGTTATTACTTTCCTAGTTACACTTTTCAGAAGGACACAGAAGCTGTTCATTTCACTCATCGTTTTTCTGGTGGTAATAATGTGTGTGTGCTTTCACTTGCTTTTATCCACGCCATGGACTGAGTTTACATCTTTTCCTATGCTGTTGCTGAATCCTGAATGAAATTGAATCATTACGATTGTTAATGCTACTGAAACTAAATAAACTGCTGTATTTTATACAGACGTATGTGCAAAGACTGTTCATTTTCCATTGGATTGCAAGGGTTGCCAGATTTTCAAAACAAACCATAGCCAAATGATGTAAAAAATATGCCACCGCCCATAAATGAAGAACATATTTTACATCACTATATGCATTATACACTGAAAATAACTGTATATTAGTTTGTATTGCATTGCATGATGCTGTTTATGATAACTAGATCTCATTCTTGTAAATAATTTTGTTTTAACACTCATTCTAGTATATTTTGTCCTGTAACATTGCAAAAAGTTATTACTTTCCTAGTTACACTTTTCAGGAGGACACAGAAGCTGTTTATTTCACTCGTCGTCATTCTGGTGGTAATAATGTGTGTGTGTTTTCACTTGCTTTTATCCACGCCATGGACTGAGTTTGCATCTTTCCCTATTCTGTAGCTGAATCCTGAATGAAATTGAATCATTACGATTGTTGATGCTACTGAAACTAAATAAACTGCTGTATTTTACACAGACGTATGTGCAAAGACCGTTCATTTTGCATTGGATTGCAAGGGTTGCCAGATTTTCAAAACAAACCATATCCAAATGATATAAAAATATGCCACCGCCCATAAATGAAGAACATATTTACATCACTATATGCATTATACACTGAAAATAACTGTATATTAGTTTATATTGCATTGCATGATGCTGTTTATGATAACTAGAATTCATTCTTGTAAATAATTTTGTTTTAACACTCATTCTAGTCTATTTTGTCCTCTAACACTGCGAAAAATATTACTTAGTTACACTTTTCAGGAGGACACAGAAGCTGTTTATTTCACTCATCATCATTCTGGAGGTAATAATGTGTGTGTGTTTTCACTTGCTTTTATCCAAGCCATGGACTGAGTTTGCATCTTTTCCTATGCTGTTGCTGAATCCTGAATGAAATTGAATCTTTATGATTTTTAATGCTACTGAAACTAAATAAACTGCTATATTTTACACAGGTGTGTGTGCAAAGACCGTTCATTTGGCATTGAATTGCAAGGGTTGCCAGGTTTTCACAACAAACCCAGCCAATTAATATAAAAAAATTATATAAACGAAATGATATAAAAAATATGCCATCGCCCATAAATAAAGAACATATTTTACATCACCTATATGCATTATACACTTTAAAAATAACTGTATATTAGTCTATATAGCATTGCATGATGTTGTTTATAATCATTTGAATGCATGCTTGCAAATGATGTTGTTTTTAACAGTCATTCTAGTTCAATTTGACCCGTAACACTGTCAAAAAAAAAAAAAACTTTCTTAGTTACACATTTCAAGAGGACACAGACATTTATTTACTTCATTCATCGTCATTCTGGTGGTTATAATGTATGTGTATGTTTTCATTTGCCTTTATCCACGCCATGGGTTGAGTTTGCGTCTTTCCCTTTGCCCTTGTTGAAAACACGACTATGATTGTTAATGCAACTGAAAGTAAATAAACTGCTATATTTTACACAGGCGAATGTGCAAAGATTGTTCATTCTGGATTAAACTGCATTGCCTGAAACCTGCAGTTTAATGTTTGTGTCTTTATATTGCGCTGCATGATGTTGTTCATCATAATTTGAATACCTGCTCGTAATTATTGTTTTTTTTAACACTCATTCTAGTCCATTTTGAGCACAAAATGCTCTCTTACTTAGATTTTTTTTGTCTTGTTTCTTGTCCAAATACCTAAAAATGTTTAAATTAAGAAGCATTTTCTAGACAAGCAAAACATATTGTCTTGTTTTAAGAAATAAATGTCAAAATTAATTGAGTTGAAAACAAGCAAAATAGTCTGCCATAAATCCAGGGTATTGAGTGAAATATCCCTTTACCCTACTGCTATGGGTGAACTGGTTGTTTTTAGTGTAACGCAGCAACACCACAGACACACTGAGATGGAGATGATGAATGCTGTAAGGCACATGTAAAACTCAGGAGGACAAAACACATGATGCAACAGAGAGAAGAGCATTACAATATGCATGTGTCTAAAGGCAAATACAGGCTATTCCGCTCTAGATTTTTTGTTTTCCATCTGTTGTGATTCTAAAAGATCCACAAAGCATTCTGGTATTTTAAAGAAAGAGATGTACACAAAAGGTTAAACACTCAAATGATTTCAAAGTACAGTCATCATGAAATGGAATTTCCATTTAATGGAAAATTGCCCTTTTGTTCCACTATCATGACTTACATCCACTAGAAATGGTCCTGAAATTAAAAAAAGATATTGGGTGGTGCATGGTTTTGTTCTACGGGGGTCGAATGAATTGTTGAAAGACGGGTGTTGCTAACAAAATGAAGGACGATTGATGAATGAATGAATTCAGTGCAGAAATGAGACACCCGCTGATAGCCCCGCCCTAAAGGACTGACAGCCCCACCTTAAATGACTGATAGCCCCGCCCTAAATGACTTATAGCCAGGCCATAAATGATTGATAGCCCCGCCCTATTGACTGATAGCCTTGTCCTAAAGGACAGATAGCCCTGCCTTAAATGATTAAAAGCCCCACCCTAAAGGACTGATAGCTCCGCCTTAAAGGACTGATAGCCTCACCCTAAATTACTTTTAGCCACATGCTAAATGATTGATAGCCCAGCCCAAAATGACCGATAGCCCTGCCCCCCTGAAGGACTGATAGCCCTGTCTTAAAGGAATGATAGCCCTGCCCTAAATGATTGATAGCCCCGCCCTAAATGACTGAAAGCTCCACCCTAAAATATTGATAGCCCCGCCCTAAATCACTGACAGCTCGGCCCTAAAGGACTGGTAGTCTGGCCCTAAAGAAATAACAGCTCCGCCCTAAAGCACTGATTGATCTGCCTTAAAGTATTGATAGCCCAGCTCATAATGACTAAAAGGCTCCACCCAAAAAGATTGATAGCCCCACCCTAAAGTACTGACAGCTCGGCCCTAAAGGACTGATAGCCCTGCCTCAAGGATTGATAGCTCCTGATTGATGGGGGGGGGGGGTACATGATTATAGGTAAATGGAATATGTGTTTATTATATATGTGTAAATAAAATATTTCAAAAGCAAGTAAAACATTGAATTAAAAATGACATTTTAGGTACGCATAAATTGCATAATGGTGCAATGGTGATAATATAATTCTGTAATGGTGATTACATACAGTAACTTCTTAAGTGTACACCTTAAATTCATGTTGTATTTAATTCAACCTTTTAAAGTTATGATTTCACTAACCTGGAAAAAGTTGATGGATATAGGCAACCTTTCTCAGAATCTCTCATCAGGCTAGTTTTAGCATCAGATGGTAAGGAATAGGTCTGCACTTCACCTGAGGATGAAAACACGAAAGGTTTCACAAAATCATCAGAAAATAAGAAACCTCCAGGACTTTCTGCAAAACACAAATAGAAGAATGCTCATATACTACCTTTAATAAAACAAAAATCACTCACTCACTCACTATCCTTAAGCTTAGTCCCTGATTTATCATGGGGTGCCACAGTGGAATGAACCACCAATTGCTGAACTATCCCTTTAATCCAGAGATTGGCCCATGGTAACCTTTGATTCGGCCCACCATTCCATCTGAGTAGAGAGGGATGGTTAAGAGATTGTCAATTTAAATTTAATGTAACCCTTTGTTTGTTTTGAGCTTTGTCTGTTTGATAAAAGCTTTAACAAATGAAATGTTTTAATTAAATGATGCAAATTAATCAGATTTAGTTTAAATCTATATACTGTCACCTGACAATGCAGACTTTGCTGAGCAAATCAAGTCAAAGGCAGATTCTGCACTGAACTCCACTGCGTTATAAGTGTGATTGTTTGGTTTTACTGCAATAAGTTATCATTTAAAAAAGTTTTACTGCATTAGTTAATACGGTTTAAAGTAATGGTTTCTTTTTATTTTGTAATATTAATATAATAGGAAATTACCCATGGCAACTTTAATGTAATATAGTTTGGTATATTTACCTTCGGCCCACGGCTCTCGAGAATATTTGATTTTTGGTACTTCATACTTAAAGTTTGGGCACCCTGCTTTAATCAGTGAATAATTAATAACAGTGCTTTTGTGATGAAACCCCACAAAGAATCTATACCAGATAGCATCTGAATGTGGGCCACTTTAGGCAGTTATGTGACACTGGTGGTCTTCCTTCGCCCAGAAAAATCAAATGTGAGCCTGAAGTGGTCCACCTGTACAATGGCAAAAGATTCCGATACATATATGGGCCATTTAAAGCAAAGATTCGGCACTTATGGCAAAATGTAATCTGAATATAAGACTAATGTGGCCCATGTGGAAAATTATCAATTTGGTCCAAATGATGGGCCACAGTTGGCAAAAATGTGGCATAGTCATTTACGGGTAATCTGGATCTAAACCCTAAGTGGCTCACATGTGTTGGTATAAATGTGCCTTAAGACACATATGGGCCACTTTTGGCAAATATTCGGCACAGTAATCTCTGGCTAATGCGACTGTGAGTCTAATGTGGCCCAAAAGAAAAATGGCAAATGTGGCCCAGTTACCTTAAAACATATGTGGGCCACTTTTGGCAAATATTCGGCAAAGTAAGCTCTGACTAATGTGGCTGTGAGCCCAAAGTGACCCAGAGAAGATTTGACAAATGTGGCCCAGATACCTTTAACATATGTGGACCACTTTAGGCAAATATTCTGCATAGTAAGCTTTGACTAATGTGGCTGTAAGCCTAAAGTGACCCAGAGAAGATTTGACAAATGTGGCCCAGTTACCTTAAAACATATGTGGACCTGTTTTGTGAATATTCGGCAAAGTAAGCTTTGACTAATGTGGCTGTGAGCCTAAAGTGGCCCAGAGAAGATCTAACAAATGTGGCCCAGTTATCTTAAAACATATGTGGACCACTTTAGGCAAATATTCTGCATAGTAAGCTTTGACTAATGTGGCTGTAAGCCTAAAGTGACCCAGAGAAGATTTGACAAATGTGGCTCAGTTACCTTAAAACATATGTGGACCTGTTTTGTGAATATTCGGCAAAGTAAGCTCTGACTAATGTGGCTATGAGCCTAAAGTGGCCCAGAGAAGATCTGACAAATGTGGCCCAGTTATCTTAAAACATATGTGGGCCACTTTAGGCAAATATTCTGCATAGTAAGCTTTGACTAATGTGGCTGTGAGCCTAAAGTGACCCAGAGAAGATTTGACAAATGTGGCCCAGTTATCTTAAAACATATGTGGGCCACTTTAGGCAAATAATCTGATAGTAAGCTTTGACTAATGTGGCTGTGAGCCTAAAGTGGCCCAGAGAAGATCTGACAAATGTGGCCCAGTTACCTTAAAACATATGTGGGCCACTTTAGGCAAATATTCTGCATAGTAAGCTTTGACTAATGTGGCTGTAAGCCTAAAGTGACCCAGAGAAGATTTGACAAATGTGGCCCAGTTACCTTAAAACATATGTGGACCTGTTTTGTGAATTTTCGGCAAAGTAAGCTCTGACTAATGTGGCTATGAGCCTAAAGTGGCCCAGAGAAGATCTGACAAATGTGGCCCAGTTATCTTAAAACATATGTGGACCACTTTAGGCAAATATTCTGCATAGTAAGCTTTGACTAATGTGGCTGTGAGTCTAAAGTGACCCAGAGAAGATTTGACAAATGTGGCCCAGTTACCTTAAAACATATGTGGACCTGTTTTGTGAATATTCGGCAAAGTAAGCTCTGACTAATGTGGCTGTGAGCCTAAAGTGGCCCAGAGAAGATCTGACAAATGTGGCCCAGTTATCTTAAAACATATGTGGGCCACTTTAGGCAAATAATCTGATAGTAAGCTTTGACTAATGTGGCTGTGAGCCTAAAGTGGCCCAGAGAAGATCTGACAAATGTGGCCCAGTTATCTTAAAACATATGTGGGCCACTTTAGGCAAATATTCTGCATAGTAAGCTTTGACTAATGTGGCTGTGAGCCTAAAGTGACCCAGAGAAGATTTGACAAATGTGGCTCAGTTACCTTAAAACATATGTGGACCACGTTTGGTGTATATTCGGCACAGTTAGCTCTGGCTAATGTGGCTGTTAGTCTAAAGTGGCCCAGATGAGATATGGCAAATATGGTTGAGTATCTCTGGCTAAAGACAGTGTAAGCTAAAAAATGCAGATGAGGTTGGATGTGGCAAGTATGGTACTGTTATCCTACGATAGGTCACATTTGGCAAAGATAAAGTACAGGAATCATTTGATAATATAGGGCTCAAACCATAGCTCTTTGACATGGCAGGGTAGTAATATAGCTAATTTGTGGCCCAGATCTGGCAAACAGGAGTGGGCCGCTCTAGAGCCATCATTCCATTCAGTATGTGGTCCAGATGTAAAGGTTTGGTGTGGGCCAGAATAAAAGAATACTGTGGCCCAGAATAGGGTCAGTTCAGGTTCACTTGGTTAAATTCTGGCTGATATGTGGTATTGCTTTGGCATATTTGTGGCCCAGATCTGACAAACAGGAACGGACCGCCCAAGTGCCATCATTTTATGCAGTATGTGGGCCGGATGTAAGTGTCTCATGTGGGCCAGATTTGTGCCACATGAGTTTTACTAGCTGGGATACATCCAAAACAGAAGGCCTTTTACATAACAACTACATTTAAAGTAAAGAAACATGGAAAATTCAGTCAGAAATGGATAACAACATGAACATAGTCATTTGGAGAGCATTGACTGAGTCTTCAAACCAGGCCTCTCAAATGTCTTCCAAGTGTGTGTGTGTGTGTGTGTGTGGAGTTGAATGAGTTGAAGAGCTGGACTCTGCTTTGTCTGAAAGCTCTTGGCAGAAGTGGATGATTCCTGAAAGCCAGAGAAACTCGGCGTCACCCCAAACTGACTCACAAACACAAGAAACTTCCTCGTGGAGCATTAGATCTTGTGTTTCTCCAGCCAGGAAATGAGTCAGGCTTTATTCACTGTCCATCAGTCCGCTGATGGTCCCGCTGAGCCTCCATCTCCACTGTTGCAACTTTAATCCAGAGACTCAATTATTGACTACAGGAGAGGCTTCAGTTCACACAGCGGCGCCGACCCGCTCTCTGAGAGTCGTCTACTGGCTACGATCACTTCCAGAGATGCAGATTTAACCAAGTGACAAAATACTTGTCACGTCAAATGTGTTGTGCAAAAGGAAAAATAATAAGAAGAGAATCCAGACACAGGCTTGAGAAGTTTTATTAAATAAAGGAGAGAACAAAAACAAAGTACGGGAAGTGGGTGACACATGGACACCATATAAGTCACAAAAACAACAGACAATGGGAGGTTAAAGAGTCACGAAACACCAAAACACATGTGTTGAGCTGTTGACAGTCGTATATGTGTCCCACACTGCTAAAAACACTATTAGGACACCTATATTTCACTAAAAAGTGTAAATTGGTTGTTTTTGCGTTATTTCAAGCAAATTCGTACTTCCGGTTTGAAACGAATTTTTGAAGCTGCGTCACGGTCATGACATAATAGCGTGTATTCCAGCGTGCAGACTGGACGCCTGTGCCAGAGTGAGTCTTATTACGTCTTACAGTGTGATGCATTAATGCATGAGTAAGGCTTGGTTCAAACCAATCAGCGCGCTCTATTGTGCAACTTCATTAATATTCATTACTGTCACAGTGTTTAGACGACAGAGACGCCACGTTGTGTTGGCAAAACAAGCGTGAAGTGTTGCTTTTATAGTTTGCTGCAGTTAAGTTTTGTTTTCATTTTCTCTCTGTGAGAGCGCAGCTGGACTCACGTGTGGATTAACAGTGTACGCGACGCTCGACAACAATAACTTACGTGTCTAAGGAGGATTATTGTTTACCTGAGAGCTGTTCTCATCTGCAAACGCTGAGATCCAGATTCACTTGTAGTCTCCTCTTCATAAAGACGCGGCTCTAGTTGCTGGTGATTGTCCTGTCTCTACAGATTTGGTAAGTGAGTGACCAGTGCTCTTTGTTTATTCAGTTTGTTCGTATCGAACTAAGTTAACTATTGCACAGAGTGTAAACATGTTAGCACCACAACCAAACTTTAACCTCGTGTAGGATTTTCACCGCATTTAGTGACCGGAATAACACACGCGGCTTTCTGACACTACCTGCCGAGTGCATCTAAGTTTCCGGGAAACGCAGAGTTTTTTTTTCTCTCATTTGCCGTGCGGTATCAAACATTGCATGAAAAATACACGCTTAGAGCAGTTTTTGACTCTGAAACTCAGCGCACCCAAATAGACACTCCCACACCATGCCTCTTTTCTTCCTTCGACACTCCCCCCTAAACAGAGCTGGACACGCCCACTTTTCTGACTTTTTCCAAAGTAGAGGTGTGAAAACACCCTGCTGAAA